ATATATATATAGCACATAATGTAAATCTAGACAGCCGTTAACACTGTTAAATTATATATAAATCATCAAAGAAAGGTAACTCGAACTTAAGAAGTATAAGAAAAAGCGTCCAATAGTTTTAATTGCTTTCTTGAAAATGAAACAAAAGGCCCAATTATTAATACAAGGCACAACATGTACGTGTAAAATACTTTACTTCCTCTATACTTAGAAATTATATTTCCATTCTCAGCAACCAAGAAGAGATGTTCTATTCAGACACGTATCAAAACACTTCAACCGACTAAAAAACGTAGGCTAGTTGGTTTTTCAATAAGGAAGAATAAAATGTTTTAAACAGATGCCCTGAAATCAGAACAAAACTGTTTGGTCACCTTTAAAGTTCGTACTCTTGCACAATTTTGAAAATGTTATGATGCGATAAAGCGTTACTGAAAGTTTCTGATAAAAGATCATAAGAAATTTGTTGGTGCTTCACTTTGACTATAATGGGGATATAATGCGCAATTTTACTATATAAGAGTGTCATTTTATTGTTTTCTCAAATTTTCGCACCTCGGCTCCAACCATGGTGGGGCTGAGGTGGGTGTGAACTCTCGACTGTTCTCCCACTTTTTAAAACATCTGTACCCATGATCTCAGTTCGATCTTGTGTTAGGTATTGGAATTTACTGTTCACGTCTACATTAATTTCATTAACCGCGAATTTTATTTTAAATTTTAACAAGAAATATTTCCTATAAAACAAAACGCCGCAACATTTTAACTTATGACTGGTTCGTGAACAAATGAATTTCGTCTGGGAATACCCATATCAAAATTACCAATTCATATGATAAATAATTCAGCATGATCGTGTTCGGAAATTGCAACCATTACGAAGTCATATTACAATAGCTTGATACCTACAAAATAACTAAGGAAAATTCAACAAAGATCGTTGAATATGCCCGCCGGGAGCCCTTGCCGGCCCCTGGCCCCAGCCCCATCCCCCAGCCTAGATACTTGCTTCTCTAGCATTTCAGGCATCTGAACTTCACTATAAGTGAACGGTCGGAAAGCATATTCCTGTATTATATAAAACACTCAGGAAGGTGATGTATGTAGATCCTTCAAGACTACCATTTTTTGTGACGCACAACCAACATGAATGTCATTGTATGGGCCTATTGAATGATACCACTAGGTACAGTCAAATTGGACGCGGCTGGTAATATCGTTCACAATATTTAGAAAATATATGTAAGGAAGCCTTTAAAAAGTGGAAAGTAAATATTGTATAGGGAATTTTCAAACTTAGCCTAGGACAAAAACTCATTAATTAAATAGAATGGGATGTTAAAGTTCGTTTCAAGAAAAATGTAACATTTAGGCCTATTTGAAGGAGTGATGTAGCAGCTGATTAATTCAACAGCGGAAGGTTAAAAGAAAGTAAGATCATATAACAAAAAATTGCAAAAACAAAAACAAAAACATTCAAATATTAAAATTCACTTTACAATAATAATTATTAAAAATTAAGATTTTATAATTTAATTTATTTTACAATATAATGGAATATTTGTTATAATTATTATACACCTGCATGCTTATTACAAACAACATATATTAATGCTGAGTTTTGAACAAACGTATAAGCTACAAATACGTTACAAACTGTAACGAAAGGTGTATACCCGCTGAAATATTAACCACAATTCTCGAAAAAGAAGCTCACGAACAAATAGTGCTGTTTAAGTTTTATGTAAGCGAACAGAGATATTCCTCTCGTCATGTCGCTAATCCAATGACAATTGTTATTCGGGCATTAAATAAGAGCCGGACGTCCGGTGTGGTTAAAAACAAAACTGATTGTCTATAAAAGCACGCAGTGTGTTCACATTGCATACAAGTTCTTTTTAATCAAGTACTATAATACATTCACGATTTATAGTAACACATCATGGATAGGCATACATTCTTTAGAAATCGTGTTTTCTTAATCGCTTTTGTATTTTTAATTTTAATGTTGGTTGACACATATTGTGATCCGCTATCACCATCAAACTGTGCGTAAGTAAACTGTTGTTTTTTTTATTTTTCATGTAATAATATTTATATTTGTTATGGTACGGTACATCATAGGATCTGTCCACTGTATAACCCATATCACTTCAGCTTTCCACCTTGAATTTGTTTTTCT